CTTACGTTTGGCTATCCTTCGTCTGCAGCGGTCTGTTCTGTTATTGAGGCTTCTTGCTCGCGGTCTTAGGTAAGTCGGGTTAGGCTGCTTCAGTGGCTGGCTACGTGACGAGTGGCATAGGTTGGTTGTTTTATGCTGCGTCCTCAATAGCAACGCCCGGCGACTGACAAGTCACGCTTCCTTGAATCGTAGGCCACATATCTCTGCTGACAAGCCCCACATACTTCGTCACAGGATACTAAAATTCACCGGCCTCGCTACAAGCATATGTTGGTTAGGCAAGGTTTCGTTAAAGGAGACCAACTAAAGAGGGTCTTGAGTTATTTTCCGTAAACTGCTTTAGCAGAAGGCTGCAAGCTTTTGCGTATAGATTGCTGAGGGATTGCTGCGTCCGAAAGAGGTACTAGGTGTTAAGCATTATTTGTTCGGGCTAGGCTGCGTCCGCTGTTCTCTACATTCGTTCTGCTCTCCCGCATCAGCATATGTATGTCTCGTTCAAAGGAGCCCTCCAGAGAAGTGTTACGGGTTAGTTCGTGTATGGTGCATTTGTTGCAAACCGTTTCTTCGAGGATTTCAGTGTTTTGCGATATGTGTTGCATAGGTTGAAATTTCTAGGCTGTGCTTTACGTACAAGAAATAGAGTGATCCTTGAGATTCTACTGAGCCGCATGCAGTGTGTCAACAAGACCTGTGTACTGTTTGCCTGAGAAGCAGTGGTGTATGTGCAGCTCATTTCATACTGCAACAGGAAATTGGCTGTGAACATGAAGGGCCCTCCTGTCTGCTACAGATGTATCTGTCTCAACTTGATGTGCATTGTACCGCTTGTAACTTTGTTGTTGTATTTCCTGGTGCTGAGATTTCAAATGTCACCATATTTGTGGAAAGGAGAAAGGCAATAATGCTCAGCAAAACTAAAATATGTATTTTGCTGAATGATATTGAGAATTTTGATTATCATAATTCCTCATAATTAGAGCATTTATTATGTTTATTATGGGTGAACATTGTATTTGCTGGTTTTATTTACCTGTGAGTGTTGAAAAACTGGATGGAACTGGTACAGGACTTGTGCTGCTTTAGTATATATATTTTGTGACCCTTGGACTGTGTGCATTTGAAGTTGGTGCTTGTGTTCATGCTATCTACTGTTATTGTGATGTAATGTGTACTGTAATCATGTTTCTTCCCCTTCATTTCCCTGTGCTGTTACTGAATAAAATGGAAGCATTGTCACTGCCCATACCCTCTCCCCTAAGCTTACAGGTTATATGGCAGCCTTTGGATTCAGTAATATGATGGCAATGTTTGCCTCTGATTACTCAGGTAATGTACAATAAGTGTTAATTGGTTTTTTTTTGGGGGGGGGTTTGTTGCCTAGATGGCTAAGTACTGGAGGAATAGTAAGCTAGTTGATGTAGTAAGAAGGGTGTAGGTACGGAGGTTATTTACAGTTTAATTGTTGAGTTGTATTGAGATTTGTCAGCCATGTAGCATTTGGGTATAGATTCGTAAATACAATAGTTTGAGAAGTGGATCCATTAATATGCTGTTTGTTTTGTCAGTGGAAGGTATACGGGGTCACGAATCTGTTAAGGGAAGTTGCATTCCACTAACTAGGTTAGAGGGAAAGTGCGTATATACGTTTTTTTGTGTGTGCATTGAGGGGTTGTAAGAGAGTGGGAAGTAAAGATAAGTTATACAGAGAAAGTGTTATGAAGGTAGTTACGCAGGCATCCTTGTAAGGAGATAGGTACTTATGCAGGTGAGTGAACTGGAGACACTCACGACCACCTTCAGGAAAGACGGATACAGCAACCGTCAGATCCAGAAAGCTGTCAATCCGCCTGCGAGGCTGTCACCGCCCGCTGGAAAACCAGCCTCAGTTGCCTTCCTGCTCTACGTCGGGACGACCTTCAACTGCATAAGCAGGTTGCTGGCCAAGCACATCAAGTCTGTTGGTCTTCCGCCAAAGAAAATTCCCAGTTTTCTCCGGCCGGTAAAGGACGACCTAGGACTGAAGACGACTGGCGTATACAGCGTTCCCTGCGAGTGCGGTAAAGACTACATCGGCCAGACAGGCCGTTCTGTTGAGGCCAGGATCAAGGATCACGAAAGCCACATTCGGCTCGGGCGGCCCGAGAAATCTGCGGTTGCTGAACACCATATACAGCTCGAGGACACTTCTATCCTCTCCTCAAAAACCAGCTACATGGATCGGATAATAAGGGAAGCCATCGAAATCGAACTACATCCCGATAAATTTAACAGGGAAGATGGACTTCACCTGGAAGCATCTTATTCACACACTTCGAGGACTCCGAGAGCGAGCAAGAATGCGCCGCCAGAACCAACCAGACCACTGAAATGCCCCCTTTTCAGGGCCGTGATCCATCCAACCAAACCCAACCTTGCTATCTCCACTTTCTTTCCCACTCTCACCCCCAGACCACTATCTTAGCCCTTTCCAGGGCGCAGATCCATCCAACCAAACTCAACCTTTCTCTCTCTACTTTCTCCCACGTGCTACCATTGGTCCACTCCCATTGCCTCGGGGCAGGCTACACCTTTCACTTTCCGGCCTATAAACCTAGCACCTCACACCCCATTGGCATGGATAGGTTAGAGTATTGGACGGCTGATTATTTGGGATAGTTGTCCACGGAGAGTTCATCAACACTCGGCGAGGCATGGAAGGAGGTGAGCTGGCCTTTCTGAAGGCCCACCTCCCTGAGCTGTTCCAGCAGGTCCGGAAGCAGCTCCTGGACGCCATCGCCGCGGAAAAGAAGAGAGCGGGCAGCAGCAACAGCCGTGGTCGGAGGGCCTACTCGAGCCAACGAGTTGCACTTGTCCAACTCGAGCGGTTCGTTGGAGCCCGGGCCACTGTCCGGAGCCGGCGAAAGTTCATCGGCCCGATGGCCAGGCGGTAGCAACAACCACCTCCACGAGCGAACAAGCCACCTCGCGTGGCCGGCAGCTATGCCGAGGTCAGCGCGGCGTACACCGGGGTAGTGGCCGGGCGACTGCTGGGTTGGATTCCTCGGCACCGCTCCCCACTAAAGCCGCGGCCTCGCAAGAAGTTAAAGGAGTGAGGGACGTGGGCCCCCCCCCCGCCAAGCGGGACAGTGAAGCTCTCAGCCAAGGGACCAGGCTCCCAGCCGGGACCCGCTTCCTCGATGGAGGAGAGGCACTTGGGTGCAGGTCTCCCCGGGCCGCTCACTGGCGTGTCATCTGACGCCGCTTCTTCGCACGCTCAAGTGGACAAAACGGCTCCGGGGGAGCGCCGTAACAAAACCCCGGTGGACGTCTCTGGGGTGAAGGACGTACGCGGCTTCCTACGAAGGATTCGCGCGGAGTCGGGCTGCCGGATCGTGGCCCAGATGAAGGGAGACCTCGTGACTCTGGTGCCTGAGACCGCCGGC